CGATGACCTTGACCTTGACCATACAACACTGACATTTACGGGCTATAACGGTCTTTTTAAGTGTTTTGATTTTTTTATGTCAAAATTCCTTTGGGGAATGAAGCTGCTACAGTGATGACAAAGATAAGTTTGGCAAAACGTCCCCGTTTCCTCGCCGATATTAGTTCTCATTGTCGCGAGGGATATGATATTATGCAGACATTAGTCTGGGATCTTCTGTTATCAGAACATACTGAATATAATATATATTATCTATTTATCTAGTCCCAACAACAGACGTCACAACCTACAACATCTGGTGTTAGGTCAGGTATGGTTGAAATAATTTATACAGTTTCAACACGGTTCTTGATGATCGGTTAGTACACAATGCAGTGCATTTACAAGAAAGGTGGTCGATAAAAATGGTAACGTTAGAGCATTAACACATACGTTAGTGAACTATTTTCATGAAGCTTTATTATGGGGTGGAAACTTTTCTGAAACATTAATCTTGGTCACACTTAGATCTGTGTCGCAAGATATCTTCTTGTCATCATATCCCAAGTAAAAATAATCCTTGTTTACAAAATCTTGGAAGCATAATCTATTCTTATTTAAATCAGTTCAGGACAGGGTTATTAGCATATAAATATTAACTGATGGCACGTGATGATGTCGTCATCAATTCATTATGCTTTAACCCATCCGGTTTCGCGTGAGCTCGTTACTGCAAACATCATTAAACGCAAATAGTGAATCGCTTGTTGGATTTTCCCCGGGGGTTTTTAACCATTTCCAGCAGATCTAATGGTTTGATTTTGTTTGCTGGCGTGTTTTGTTTTTTATACATTGTTTACTCGGCATAGTGAATCGGTCTGTTGACAATTCAAAAATCACGTTTATATGGTGCCTAATATCTGACATTTTCTATTTGTTGCCGACGAAAATCTGTCGGGCAAAAACACGAAATTATATGTCTTAGCGAAAAAGCAAAACTCCGCCATTGCTGAATAACGAAAATACATCATTTGAACCGAAGTAAAAAAGACGCCGCTGCGTGAAATTTAATGGCGTCTTTTTTACCACGGTGATAGAAATGTACAGTACATTATAATAACGCATGAGAAACTCCGAACAGAACAACATCAACAATGCCGTAATATGGCATGAGACATTCCGAACAGAACATCATCGACGTTATTATAATACGACGATAGACATCCCGAACAGAATATCATCAGCATTGCTGTAATATTGAGTTTAACATACCGAAAATTTCAAACAGAACGTCATTAACATGGCTGCAATATGAGATGTGACATTCCGAGCAGAACACCATCATCGTTCAAACATAGTGAACAGTATGTCTTTCGATTCCGAACGTACAAGTGACATTCCGAATGGCACAGAACAGCAGTTGAACGCCACTGATAACGATCGTTATTAATGTATGTTATGCCCCTGACAAATATTTCCTTTCGTGACAGATTTCGACAGTGTGAAATACGTTTTGATTGTGTACAGTAACCAATGTCCACCGCTCTTGATTTACATATATGTTCCTGAGCGGCCGTATACCAGAACGTGTGAAGTGATAATGGCTCCCAGGATATGACCAAGTGTCCATACATAGCTATCCATTAGCTCAATAGTCGGTTGCTGGTACTTGATGCTCCCGCCTGGGTAATTGTCTTATTACTGTCATTTCGGGGATGGAATAACTGACAACAAGCCCTCCACGGAGATACGTCATAGTCTTGTGTAAAAAAACTGTCACAGTATGTATATAGACTATTGCTCTTGGGAAGCAATTCCATTAACTAATTATAGTCAGAACGTCGCACCTGTCTGTTGACTTGTCATCGTGCAGGCTGTGAAACAGATTAGAAATATATAAAATGAAGCCAATTAACTCGAAGATTAAATGGTTTGTGTAGGGGGGGGGGTGTCGTTAAAATTGCTTCTTTATATCTCTGTTAATCTGCTTCTTAGTAGTTTTACATGAAGTTTTTATATGATGATATATTTGTTTTATTCATTCTTGATCATCATTCCGACTTTGTACCTGAGTATCCAACAGGACATTCTTGATTATCCCTGAGATCAAGAAGAGTCATTCCGTCAGTTTTATTGCAATTCCACGAGCGAACAAAATGCTTGTAATCACGAGGCGCTCCCTTTTTGTAATCCAATGTACGGGTATTCTCGCGTAGGCAGTTAGGCGAATTATTGCGTGTATATACATTGTTTGTTTGAAATAATTGGCCAAGCCGGACCCCATCGATCCCCGTCCGGTTGTAGCCGACATTAGTATAATTTGTAGATGAGCGATCACTGGCGGTGAGGCGGAATGAAGTAAAAATGATTCTATCTTTGAGATAAGAAATATGGTTTCCTTCAGAATCCACACCTCACCGCCGATACACGTTACTGAGTAGCTTAACACAACAGATTTGTCGGATCAGCCGTTTCTGTGGAATCCATAAAAGAAACATTGCTAAGTCACGTATATCTGACGTGTTTATCTGAAACCTGTAATAACTACTCGTATGGTTTCATAAGTTAACTAGAAACGTTGGTAGATTTTACACAACAAAACGATAACGGTTCTTTAATCAGAACACAGAGAAAGGATGCTTTCATTATTACAACCTCTGAAACGACTTTTAGCCAGCTGCTTATCATAACAGCTTCCCGATAAACAGTGTATTAAATTTTCTTTAAACAACGATTTCTACCTCTTTATAACAATGGTATAACTGTACATTTATAATCAAAACACATGTCGATTTCTCATTAACGTATGATCAATAACACAATGCTTTGAAATTTTCGCTAAATCAGCATGTTTTCCTTCGACCACAAGTTGATCCTGGTCTTGAGACTCAAAGAATCATGTAGTGCAACTTAAAATATACTAAATCATTGAAAGTTGTATTGTTGATTATAACTGTCGTAAGGATGATAACCCTACAATGACGCCTCCAATGTCGACTGCACAACTATCTAAATAGTTATATGACACCGCCTATTGGTGGTAAGAGGTCACGTGGTGGTAGTGTGACGTCATTAAGTAGTGGTATGACACTGCCGAGTGATGATGTGACATCACTTCGTGGCAGAACAGTTCCTAACAGTAGTGTTGGTATGACAATATTTATTACTGATATGAAATCATTAAGTGGTGAAATGACATCACTTAATGTAGGTATGACACTCTAATGGTTGTAACAGTCTAGTGGTGTTGTGATATGACTTGGTGGTGATGTGACATCGCGTAATGGTGGAATGTTACTGTCTTGTGGTGGCGCGACATCACTAAGTGGTGTTATGACACAGTCTGGTGGTGATGTGACATCACTTAAGTGGTGGTATGACGTCACTCCACTGGCGGTATGACATCACTCCAGTGGCGGTGTGACATCACTGCAGTGGCGGTGTGACATCAGTGCAGTGGTGGTATGACATCACTCTAGTGGTGGTATGACATCATTCTAGTGATGGTATGACATCACTCTAGTGGCGGTATGACATCACTCCAGTGGCGGTATGACATCACTGCAGTGGTGGTGTGACATAACTCTAGTGGTGGTATGACATCATTCTAGTGGCAGTATGACATCACTCCAGTGGCGGTGTGACATCAGTGCAGTGGTGGTATGACATCACTCTAGTGGTGCTATGACATCATTCTAGTGGTGGTATGACATCACTCTAGTGGCGGTATGACATCACTCCAGTGGCGGTATGACATCACTCCAGTGGTGGTATTACATCACTCTAGTGGTGGTATGACATCACTCTTGTAATGGTATAACATCACTCTAGTGGTGGTATGACATCACTCTAGTGGCGGTATGACATCACTGCAGTGGTGTTGTGACATAACTCTAGTGTTGGTATGACATTATTCTAGTGTTGGTATGACATCACTCAAGTGGTAGTATGACATCACTCTAGTGGTGGTATGACATCACTCTTGTGGCGGTATGACATCACTGCAGTGGTGGTGTGACATCACTGCAGTGGTGGTGTGACAGCACTCTAGTGTTGGTATGACATCACTCTAGTGGTGGTATGACGTCACTCCAGTGGTGGTATGACATCATTCTAGTGGTGGTATGACATCACTCTCGTGGTGGTATGACATCACTCTCGTTGTGGTATGACATCACTCTAGTGGTGGTATGCCGTCACTCTAGTGGTGGTATGACGTCACTCTAGTGGTGGTATGACATCACTCTAGTGGTGGTATGACATCACTCTAGTGTTGGTATAACATCACTCTAGTGGTGGTACATTGGTATGAAAATCATCACAATACAGGAACAAATATCCACAACAATAATCTGACATATATACAAATATAGACAATCGTAACAAGTTAGGATATAGTGTGTAAGAGATATCGATATCCCAGGCTTTGTAAGAATATCCCTGAATTGTAAGGTATCCCAGGCTATGTAAGAATATCCCTGAATTGTAAGATATCCCAGGCTATGTAAGAATATCCCTGAATTGTTTGATATCCCAGGCTATGTAAGAATATCCCTGAATTGTAAGATATCCCAGGTTATGTTAGAATATCCCTGAATTGTATGATATCCCAGGCTATGTAAGAATATCCCTGATATTAGTTAGAATATCCTTTTATCAATAAGATGTCTCGTGCCATGTTAAAATATTCATCAATAAATAGAAATAACACGGAAAAAGTTGTCATCGTGGAAATGAGCAGAAGTGTTCCTACAATAAGGTATAATACCTCACCCTCACAATAAGTTACCACTTACCACAATAAGTTAGGATACCCCGAAATAAGTAATATGCCCCATAATCAGTTACGATATCTAACGAAGGGAGAACTTGTAATGGTCCGTCGCAAGCTTGGATACAGATACATAATCATTGTAAGTGATGATATCTTTATTTAAAATAAACTATTACACTTTTGTAATGAAATTTATGTAACAAAATACCCACATTCTTGCAATTATATGTATATTTCGGTGTTTCAGGGTTCGTGGAACACGCGTGGAAACCGGACGACAGAGTAGTCATGGTGTACTGTGTAGAGCTTAGTGAGGTCTTCTCGGCTTCCCAGTTCTATCATGGTAAGTCAGTGAGGTCAAAAGTGTGTCATGTCCTGTCCCAGTTCTAACATTGTAATTCATCATGTCCACTCATGTTCCATCAATGACCTTCTGTTGTACGTCTTTCATACCAAAGTTAGTCGAGTCCTGTATAGTCCGACTTGTATGTGTAGTTATACAATCGTAAATCATGTTAAATATCAAGCTTATTACATAAGTCACGTTCCATTTTCTACTGTGGTAAGTTTTATGACGCAGCAAGTCGTGTCATGTATAATCTCGGTATACTTCACATCCTATTTCCAGTAATTGTGAAATGTCTTCCACGGCTTGTCATTTCCATGTACGTGTTTTGTTTAGTTTTGATTGTAGAGATCTTCTTTGTAGTGTGATTAGGTCACAGTTCCAGTTTGTAAAAGCATTATCGACTGCTGAAGATATCCTCAATGGACATGTCATAATGGTGGATATTGATGTATCCTCCCCAATCCCCTCCCCCCCCCCCTTCAACTTCTCTTTTATGAATCCTTAATTCGTCAATGAGCACAATTCTTCTGCTTCCGCGCCGTGTTATAGAAACCCGCAGCATACTGTAATGATTTTACCAGTGCAAAACTACGGTTACGAATTCGTTTCGACCGGCGTCCTCTAGTATGATAAAGTATTCCTTCTGCTTATTGTGTACATGTATACAGAAACTGATGAGGATTTTGTACTTGTATACGTATGACACAGTCTCACGTGGTCTTCTCTGTCTATACACATCGACCGTAATTTGAACCAGAGACACATGCCGGTATTCATTAACGTCACTGTTATTAATAATAACGTGTGCTGTCGTTAATGATGACGGAAACTGTGTCTGAATCTCCTAACCTCTTGTCTAAACAGGAACTGTGTAATAAGGAGAGCTGAACATATAACTAAGAGCCGCAATAAATATTAACGGTTTGGACAAAATCGCGGTATAGACAGGTTAACGGTATAGACAAGTTTTACGGTGTAGACAAGTTTCGCGGTATAGACAGGTTAACGGTATAGACAAGTTTTATGGTGTAGACAAGTTTCGCGGTATAGACAGGTTAACGGTGTAGACAAGTTTTACGGTGTAGACAAGTTTCGCGGTGTAGACAGGTTAACGGTATAGACAAGTTTTACGGTGTAGACAAGTTTCGCGTTATAGACAGGTTTACGGTATAGACAAGTTTTATGGTGTAGACAAGTTTCGCGGTATAGACAGGTTAACGGTATAGACAAGTTTTACGGTGTAGACAAGTTTCGCGGTATAGACAGGTTAACGGTGTAGACAAGTTTTACGGTGTAGACAAGTTTCGCGGTATAGACAGGTTAACGGTATAGACAAGTTTTACGGTGTAGACAAGTTTCGCGGTATAGACAGGTTTACGGTATAGACAAGTTTTACGGTGTAGACAAGTTTCGCGGTATAGACAGGTTTACGGTATAGACAAGTTTTACGGTGTAGACAAGTTTCGCGGTATAGACAGGTTTACGGTATAGACAAGTTTTACGGTGTAGACAAGTTTCGCGGTATAGACAGGTTTACGGTATAGACAAGTTTTACGGTGTAGACAAGTTTCGCGGTATAGACAGGTTTACGGTATAGACAAGTTTTACGGTGTAGACAAGTTTCGCGGTATAGACAGGTTTACGGTATAGACAAGTTTTACGGTGTAGACAAGTTTCGCGGTGTAGACAGGTTTACGGTATAAACAAGTTTTATGGTGTAGACAAGTTTCGCGGTATAGACAGGTTTACGGTATGAACAAGTTTTATGGTGTAGACAAGTTTCGCGGTATGGACAGGTTTAAAGTATAGACAAGTTTTATGGTGTAGACAAGTTTCGCGGTATGGACAGGTTTACGGTATAGACAAGTTTTACGGTGTAGACAAGTTTCGCGGTATAGACAGGTTTACGGTATAGACAAGTTTTACGGTGTAGACAAGTTTCGCGGTATAGACAGGTTTACGGTATAGACAAGTTTTACGGTGTAGACAAGTTTCGCGGTATAGACAGGTTTACGGTATAGACAAGTTTTACGGTGTAGACAAGTTTCGCGGTATAGACAGGTTTACGGTATAGACAAGTTTTACGGTGTAGACAAGTTTCGCGGTATAGACAGGTTTACGGTATAGACAAGTTTTATGGTGTAGACAAGTTTCGCGGTGTAGACAGGTTTACGGTATAAACAAGTTTTATGGTGTAGACAAGTTTCGCGGTATAGACAGGTTTACGGTATGAACAAGTTTTATGGTGTAGACAAGTTTCGCGGTATGGACAGGTTTACGGTATGAACAAGTTTTATGGTGTAGACAAGTTTCGCGGTATAGACAGGTTTACGGTATAGACAAGTTTTATGGTGTAGACAAGTTTCGCGGTGTAGACAGGTTTACGGTATAAACAAGTTTTATGGTGTAGACAAGTTTCGCGGTATAGACAGGTTTACGGTATGAACAAGTTTTATGGTGTAGACAAGTTTCGCGGTATGGACAGGTTACGGTTTAGACAAATTTACAGTCCGAAGAAAAGTTTCAGTATAATGCATTGCTTCTAAGATATGGTGTACCCAAGTTTAAGTTGTAGATGTTTGATCTGTGAACAAACCTTTATTATATATGTTAGAACGTCACCAAATATTAACTGCAATTGTATATATACAATTGTAGATTATGATAAGTATCTGACAGTTACGCCCACAAGGATTTTCGCGATCAGAGAGTGACGAACCAAGTTAGAAACGTCACATTTATATCTCTGTGGTGTGCTTATCTACGAACCCGCTCATTGGTATGGAAGTTTTTTTTAAAATTGTCTGCAAATATAGCGTCTAAATACAGATCTAACCCAAGAAGAATTACCACCCACAAGATTACAGACGTGTCAGCTGGTAATATGGTTAACTATCTCAGGAATTGGGCGTTATACTCAATATACGTATTTAAATGATACACCGTTGTGACCCTGGCCATGATGTGTCCTTCGGGAAAGGAGTAGTTCTTCTGGAAGTCTGGTGACGCGTTAGCCAAGAAAGGCGTGTGCATGCGGGTTTGAAAGAACAACAATTGTCTGTTATTGAATCGGATAACGTCTGTAAAGGGAATATTTCCCTTGATACACACTTTTATGACTTGGATTTAAATATAAAATACGTATCGATTTGTCGACTTTCAAAGTAATCACGCGCTTATGCAAACAAAACACACGCTTTAAGACGATCGAAACCGACAGCGGATCCTATAGTACTAAACAATTTGAGGCGCTGGTCGCTGCATCTTTTCGACAAAAGGCATCGGAATTTTAATACTGTTCATCTGACTTCTACATCTCAGCTTTAAAAATGCTGCATCACAAATGTAATATTGCGCAATTGACTTCTACAATTCAGCTTTCAAAATGTTTGTTTTATTGAAGATAATTTGTTTCCGAATCGCAAACGAGATATCATTAAACGACGCAGTTGAAAGTGACATAGTGGTATAAGCTTAGCGTTGTTGGGCAATTCCCCTGTCTAACATATTTCAAAGATACGTCCTCAGATTAACACGTGCGCTTTTCCCGGATATACGGTCTGATTGAATAACTATCGCTTTGCACGGATACTGTTTCCCATGATCATGAATTTGTTTTTCACGAACACAATCCCAATGGATAACACAGTATTTTTTTGTCGGATACGGTCTCCTTGATTAGCACATTCATTTCTGTCGGATACTGTCTCCGTGAATAACACATTTGTTTTTGTCGGATACGGTCTCTGTGAATAACACATTATTTTTTGTCGGTTACTGTCTCCGTGAATAACACATTATTTTTTGTCGGTTAATGTCTCCGTGAATAACACATTCATTTCTGTCGGATACTGTCTCCGTGGATAACACATTAATTTTTGTCGGATATTGTCTCCGTGGATAACATATACGTCTTCCACGGATAAGGTCCCCCTAGATATCCATTCGTTTTTATGGATACGATCTCTGTGAAAAACACATTTAATTTTCATGGATAAGGTCTCCTGGAATATACATTCGTCTTTCATGGAAACGGCTTCCGTGGATAACAAGTTCATGAGAAATTAAAGAATATGCATTTTCGGTTGAAAATAAACGAATGTATGGTTTTTATTTGAATGAAAATCTCATAGTCGGGGAAATCCGTGAAGCGGAGAAAGTTGATTTAATCAATGAGTTAAGTCATAGCTAGCTACAAGCATGTAACGTATTTTGACCCATCCTATTATAATTATAATGTTGTGGTACGTGTAAGGTGTAGAAAAAGAACGGAAACACGTTTTGTAGAGTTATCGCCCTTCCTTCCAGAAATAGTGCATCTTACCCTGGATAACCTGCCTTAGTACAATTTTTCTCCACTTGACTGCGCTCGCAGTAATGTATTTACTTTTCCGAAGTATATATATATGTATATATATAACGGCAGGCAATCGTTTATCGTGCATATGTATGTCCTGTTTGATAAAGATTGATGTCGCTTTTAGAACCTTACTGCTTTGTGTGAATCATAGCAGTCTGACTTGGTAAACTAATCCCTCATTTTATTGGACTTCCTAACTTGAAAGTCTCGTCCACACAATGAGCCCTTATCGCATCGATTTTTTACGAGTTTGACCAAATATTTCGTCAGGAATTGCGAGGAGAGGACAATTTTATCCACATGTTGTACGGTCGTTCTTTATATATTGTTTTATTTTTACTGACACATATTACTTATTATTTTTCGTAGCTCCAAACCCTGCCGAAGCTGAGGCTTTTCAAGCCATCCTCTCACACGAGCTTCAAAAAGTACAGGCCAGGCTTGAGGAGTTCGCCTCATACATGAAAGAGCTCAAGGTAATTTTACAGATTCAGATCGGTCGCAAAAAAATCCTGTTTTATAATTATCATCAACTTTCTTTATTTTACAACAAGGGTGAAAGAAGCTATCAGCTAATATCAATCAGTCTTGTTGGCTCGGATGGAATGTGTGAGGACACCGGAGTACCACGTGGTTGGACAGGTGATCCCATACCATTTTCACTTCCGTTCTGGAAATCGAACCCCGGCCATCTAGATTAGAGGCAAATACGTTACCAACCGGACAACCCGACCAGAAATTCTTATTTTTTGAATAAAATGATTTTATAGAAAAAGAAATAAGTCTAAAATAAATATTTAATGATCATGTTGAAATTTAATTAAGATTTTAAAAAAAATTATCCTCATACGGACTGATATCTTGGGAATATACTCTGTAATACCATAGTGTAGGTATATACTCTGTTATACCATAGTGTGGGTATATACTCCGTTATACCATAGTGTAGGTATATACTGTGTTATACCATACTGTGGGTATATACTCCGTTATACCATAGTGTAGGTATATACTCTGTTATACCATAGTGTAGGTATATACTGTGTTATACCATAGTGTAGGTATATACTGTGTTATACCATAGTGTAGGTATATACTGTGTTATACCATAGTGTAGGTATATACTGTGTTATACCATAGTGTAGGTATATACTGTGTTATACCATAGTGTGGGTATATACTCTATTATACCATAGTGTAGGTATATACTGTGTTATACCATAGTGTAGGTATATACTGTGTTATACCATAGTGTAGGTATATACTGTGTTATACCATAGTGTAGGTATACACTCTGTTATACCATAGTGTGGGTATATACTGTGTTATACCATAGTGTAGGTATATACTGTGTTATACCATAGTGTAGGTATATACTCTGTTATACCATAGTGTAGGTATATACTCTGTTATACCATAGTGTAGGTATACACTCTGTTATACCATAGTGTAGGTATATACTGTGTTATACCATAGTGTAGGTATATACTGTGTTATACCATAGTGTAGGTATATACTGTGTTATACCATAGTGTAGGTATATACTGTGTTATACCATAGTGTAGGTATATACTCTGTTATACCATAGTGTAGGTATATACTCTGTTATACCATAGTGTAGGTATATACTGTGTTATACCATAGTGTAGGTATATACTCTGTTATACCATAGTGTAGGTATATACTCCGTTATACCATAGTGTAGGTATATACTCTGATATACCATAGTGTAGGTATATACTCTGTTATACCATAGTGTAGGTATATACTGTGTTATACCATAGTGTAGGTATATACTCCGTTATACCATAGTGTAGGTATATACTCTGATATACCATAGTGTAGGTATATACTCTGATATACCATAGTGTAGGTATATACTCTGTTATACCATAGTGTAGGTATATACTCCGTTATACCATAGTGTAGGTATATACTCTGTTATACCATAGTGTAGGTATATACTCTGATATACCATAGTGTAGGTATATACTGTGTTATACCATAGTGTAGGTATATACTCTGATATACCATAGTGTAGGTATATACTATGTTATACCATTGTTATACTCTGATATACCATAGTGAAGGTATATACTCTGTTATACTATAGTGTAGGTATATACTCTGTTATACCATAGTGTAGGTATATACTCTGATATACCATAGTGTAGGTATATACTCTGTTATACCATAGTGTAGGTATATACTCTGATATACCATAGTGTAGGTATATACTCTGTTATACCATAGTGTAGGTATATACTCTGATATACCATAGTGTAGGTATATACTCTGTTATACCATAGTGTAGGTATATACTCTGATATACCATAGTGTAGGTATATACTGTGTTATACCATAGTGTAGGTATATACTCTGATATACCATAGTGTAGGTATATACTCTGTTATACCATAGTGTAGATATATACTGTGTTATACCATAGTGTAGGTATATACTCTGTTATACCATAGTGTAGGTATATACTGTGTTATACCATAGTGTAGGTATATACTGTGTTATACCATAGTGTAGGTATATACTCTGTTATACCATAGTGTAGATATATACTGTGTTATACCATAGTGTAGGTATATACTGTGTTATACCATAGTGTAGGTATATACTCTGTTATACCATAGTGTAGATATATACTGTGTTATACCATAGTGTAGGTATATACTGTGTTATACCATAGTGTAGGTATATACTCTGATATACCATAGTGTAGGTATATACTCTGATATACCATAGTGTAGGTATATACTCTGTTATACTGTAGTGTAGGTATATACTCTGTTATACCATAGTGTAGGTATATACTCTGATATACCATAGTGTAGGTATCTCTGTTATACCATAGTGTAGGTATATACTGTGTTATACCATAGTGTAGGTATATACTGTGTTATACCATAGTGTGGGTATATACTCCGTTATACCATAGTGTAGGTATCTCTGTTATACCATAGTGTAGGTATAGACTCTGATATACCATAGTGTAGGTATATACTGTGTTATACCATAGTGTAGGTATATACTCTGTTATACCATAGTGTAGGTATATACTGTGTTATACCATAGTGTAGGTATATACTGTGTTATACCATAGTGTAGGTATATACTGTGTTATACCATAGTGTAGGTATATACTGTGTTATACCATAGTGTAGGTATATACTGTGTTATACCATAGTGTAGGTATATACTGTGTTATACCATAGTGTAGGTATATACTGTGTTATACCATAGAGTAGGTATATACTCTGTTATACTATAGTGTAGGTATATACTCTGTTATACCATAGTGTAGGTATATACTGTGTTATACCATAGTGTAGGTATATACTGTGTTATACCATAGTGTAGGTATATACTGTGTTATACCATAGTGTAGGTATATACTGTGTTATACCATAGTGTAGGTATATACTGTGTTATACCATAGTGTAGGTATATACTGTGTTATACCATAGTGTAGGTATATACTGTGTTATACCATAGTGTAGGTATATACTGTGTTATACCATAGTGTAGGTATATACTGTGTTATACCATAGTGTAGGTATATACTCTGTTATACCATAGTGTAGGTATATACTGTGTTATACCATAGTGTAGGTATACACTCTGTTATACCATAGTGTAGGTATACACTCCGTTATACCATAGTGTAGGTATATACTCCGTTATACCATAGTGTAGGTATATACTCTGTTATACCATAGTGTAGGTATAGACTCTGATATACCATAGTGTAGGTATATACTGTGTTATACCATAGTGTAGGTATATACTTTGTTATACCATAGTGTAGGTATATACTCCGTTATACCATAGTGTAGGTATACACTCTGTTATACCATAGTGTAGGTATAGACTCTGATATACCATAGTGTAGGTATACACTCTGTTATACCATAGTGTAGGTATATACTCCGTTATACCATAGTGTAGGTATATACTCTGTTATACCATAGTGTAGGCATATACTTTGTTATACCATAGTGTAGGTATATATACTGTGTTATACCATAGTGTAGGTATATATACTGTGTTATACCATAGTGTAGGTATATACTCCGTTATACCATAGTGTAGGTATATACTCTGTTATACCATAGTGTAGGTATATATACTGTGTTATACCATAGTGTAGGTATATATACTGTGTTATACCATAGTGTAGGTATATACTCTGTTATACCATAGTGTGGGTATATACTCTGTTATACCATAGTGTGGGTATATACTGTGTTATACCATAGTGTAGGTATATACTGTGTTATACCATAGTGTAGGTATATACTGTGTTATACCATAGTGTAGGTATATACTCTGTTATACCATAGTGTAGGTATATACTCTGTTATACCATAGTGTAGGTATATACTGTGTTATACCATAGTGTAGGTATATACTCTGTTATACCATAGTGTAGGTATATACTCTGATATACCATAGTGTAGGTATATACTGTGTTATACCATAGTGTAGGTATATACTGTGTTATACCATAGTGTAGGTATATACTCTGTTATACCATAGTGTAGGTATATACTCTGTTATACCATAGTGTAGGTATATACTCTGATATACCATAGTGTAGGTATATACTGTGTTATACCATAGTGTAGGTATATACTGTGTTATACCATAGTGTAGGTATATACTCTGTTATACCATAGTGTAGGTATATACTCTGTTATACCATAGTGTAGGTATATACTGTGTTATACCATAGTGTGGGTATATACTCCGTTATACCATAGTGTAGGTATATACTGTGTTATACCATAGTGTAGGTATATACTCTGTTATACCATAGTGTAGGTATATACTCTGTTATACCATAGTGTAGGTATATACTGTGTTATACCATAGTGTAGGTATATACTCTGTTATACCATAGTGTAGGTATATACTCTGTTATACCATAGTGTAGGTATATACTCTGTTATACCATAGTGTAGGTATATACTGTGTTATACCATAGTGTAGGTATATACTCTGTTATACCATAGTGTAGGTATATACTCTGTTATACCATAGTGTAGGCATATACTTTGCTTGGTTACATACACCGCAGCAAATACTATAGGTACACAGTTGACCTTACTTTAGGTACACGGTTGACCTTACTTTAGGTACACGGTTTACCTTACTTTAGGTACACGGTTGACCTTACTTTAGGTACACTTTAGTGTTGAGGTACACTTACACGTTACTACTTAGGTACACGGTTTACCTTACTTTAGGTACACGGTTGACCTTACCATACTTTACTATAGGTGCACACGGTTTACCTTACTTTAGGTATACGGTTTACCACGGTTGACCTTACTTTAGGTATACAGTTGACCTTACTTTAGGTACACGGTTTACCTTACTATAGGTACACAGGTATACGGTTTACACGGTTTACCTTTTACTACTTAGGTACACGGTTTACCTTACTTTAGGTACACGGTTG